TATAACAACACTTTTGTGGGGTATTGTTATACAATTTGAAAAGTAAAAGTTCTGGAGATGTTGTATGGTCCAAATATAAATTTATTAAAATAACTTTCTCTAGGTCGGTGGATGATTTCTGGAGTATCCAAAAACACACCCGTACAGTCCGATGCCTAGCTCCTAACTGATTACCAAACATGTAGAACCGTGATACATTGACAATTAACACAATAAAGTTAATTTGATCGACAGCTGTCACTTATCTCTCTATTCTGACTGGTGAGTACCCGAACAGGTAAGGCAATTAGCCTGTCCTTTGTCCGAGACTTAAGTGTCATACTTGGTAAGACCAGTTAATCTCATTACGTAACATAATTGACTTGAAAGGTATAATGTATAAGATGGACACCAATATTACATGAGTTAATCTGACGACAATGAATCAAAGAAGCTACATTTACACATAGAGGTTTTCTTAAATGGTACAAATGTAATTAAATAGCTTTTAGGTATGAAATTGTTACTGAACGAAATTAAATGGCGGAAGTTTTTAAGAGGAAATCCAAAATAATGAATGAGATGAAATGTTAAATTAATGTTCATAAATAGCACTATTATCATAAAATTCTTTATGATATATATAATACATTTGTATCATGCCATCTGAAACTGCTAACGTACATAAAACGAAGGACATTTTATAAAAGTTATTTTTGCTTGTCATTATACAGTATGTATAATTGTTTCAAAGTAAGACACTCGAACGAACTCCCTAAGTTTGCAGAACCTTGGGGTCGCAGTATGGATACATTCGCCTCTTCGTGCACAACATTTGTTTACCTGGGTATAGAGAAGAGATATCGATCGTTTCCGTGTTGTGGCCTCAACCATTTTTCAAGCTATGACGAAAGAGTTTAGTCTGTAGCCGGCAGGACTTGCAGCTTGAGTATTTTCGTATCTCCACACTCAGCAATTATGACTGTAAAGTAGGGGTCTAAACTCCACACTCAGCAATTATGACTGTAAAGTTGGGGTCTCATCTCCACACTCAGCAATTATGACTGTAAAGTGGGGCTTTCATCTCCATACTTAGCAATTATGACTGTAAAGTAGGGGTCTGAACTCTACACTCAGCAATTATGACTGTAAAGTAGGGGTCTGAACTCCACACTCAGCAACTATGATTGTAAAGTGGGGGTCTCATCTCCACACCCAGCAATTATGACTGTAAAGTGGGGGTCTCATCTCCACACTCAGCAATTATGACTGTAAAGTGGGGGTCTCATCTCCACACTCAGCAATTATGACTATAAAGTGGGGGTCTCATCACCACACTCAGCAATTATGACTGTAAAGTGGAGGTCTCAACAGTTTCCACAATAGTATCTATATCCCGAGCACAATCCTGGTAGCACGTTTAGGTTAGTTTATGCATGTCCATAGACCACACTGATCTTGATAGGAATGTGATCTCGACCGTTTTTGTGTAATGACAAAGGGACCGTGTCCTCAGGGGCAGGCAAGACCTTAGCGCCAATCTTCATAACCCGATTTTGTTCGTCTGTCCACGCCCTGCAAATGTTTACAAGTGTATAGTTATGGGATGGGGATCTCAACTGTTTCCATGATATGATCTAGGGATTGAATCTCATCCTGATAGAATGAAATGACCTTCTCTTCAAGCCCAGCAAATAAATGTAAGGCTATGAGTTGAGGATCTTGGACCATTTCCAAATTTCCAAATTATGACCCAGGGAGTGGTAGCCACTGAGGCAAAGCCAGATGCCAGGATAAGAATGGTAGAACGAGTGTGTTGGTTTCTGTCTGTATTGTCAGCAAGCATGTGTATTATGTTTGTAGTGGTGCTATCTCAACTGTTTTTGTTATATATATATACCATGTTATGCAGCGTCATAAAGCAATCACATAAATTATATTTATGTAACGTGTGTAATATCACTACAGAAATGACGTCGCAATCGAATAGGAACAACCAACGTGACGTCATGTCATTGTAAAGCGGACACCATTTTCATCGTTTCAGAGGCGGCCAAGTGCAAAATATTCTTTTTGGATCACAATTATACAGTTTACTTTGTATCATATGATAAAGATAATCTGTCATTCGTTTCCCAGAATGTTAGATTTATGATACACGTTTTGGATTTTTCATAGTTGCTCGTCAGAGGCTGCAAACATGAAAAATCCAAAACTTGTATCATAAAACTAATATGAAGGGAAACTTATGACAGAACCTCTTTCTATGACATGATCCAAGGAATAAGTCCCCAAAAGCGGGGCCACATCAGGAGACAATGGGGTGGGGACGATATTTGTAGTAAGACCCAGACACTGAAAGAGGTAAAGTTACAAGCAAGGCTTAACCTGGTAGCTTGACTGTCTGTTTGCATGTTTGTTTATAGGGGTGTGACCTCCACTGTTTCTCTGTAATGACCCAGGAACTAAGTTCTAGGGCGCTTGGCCTGGTAACTTTATCTTGTTCATCTTTCCATGCCCAGTAAGTGAATATTTGGGATAGGTGTTTTGACAATTTTCATGCTATGACCAAGGGACTGGTTCTTAGGTTCTTGGCCTGACCCCAGAATCAATCCTGTTAGCACGACTGTGTTGGTCTCGTCACGCAGAATAAGCAAGAATACGGTTTTCAGATGGAAATCTCAAACTATTTCTAAGCTATTGCACCTCACATAAGCCCCCATATTTATACATTTAGTATCATTACCACCTCAGGATGCTTCTATCAATCACTGACGATAAGTATCTAAAGCTAATATTCTGCTCTCCCCCTCAGCTCCTCCATCTGTATCCACAACACTGTAAAGATTTTCCAGTCAAATTTGGTGAAATTCCTGCCATGAAATTTTCCATATAGGTTACAGCCTAAGGGAAGTAACTCTAGCTGATATACGTTACAGCCTAAGGGAAGTAACTCTAGCTGATATGTTACAGCCTAAGGGAAGTAAGTCTAGCTGATATATGGCCTCAGACCACAATTAATTCTACTATATGTTATACCAAAGGAAATAAATTATTAAAATATTTTAAAACTTTGCACAGGGCCTGGTTCCTATTTCATATTGTAGATCTATTCAAACTGAATGTACGGTGAGCTGGAAAGTACCTCATGACCGGCATTTAAGAAAGATAATTTTATTTGAATGTCACTACCCTGCATGTAAAGGGGAAAATACTAAAAATCACAAAATATCACTGCGCAAGCCTCATCACTCATTGTGTCCTGCTGCCAAGACAAACTTGGAAACTGTGTCAAATAAAATTTATTCACTAGAATAGATATTGTTGAACAATTCTATGTAAAAAACCTGTACATATCTGTCATAATTCAGACAGGAAAAATTATTTAGTAACCCACCTGAAATGTCCTTATGCACTACATTCGTGTACGACGACCCGGAAGTGTTATTGTGGTCTGAGGCCATATGTTACAGCCTAAGGGAAGTAACTCTAGCTGATATACGTTACAGCCTAAGGGAAGTAACTATAGCTGATATACGTTACAGCCTAAGGGAAGTAACTATAGCTGATTGACATGCATGCAATTCAGAAATTCACAAACACATAATATACTTTTATTTTCAGATACACATTTAATAAAAAAAATCTTAAATTCTGTTTACAACATAATAATAGTTTCCTATCTCACAAGCAGCATTGATAATTATGAATTCGTCTCAATCTAAACAGCAATAATTTACAGTATGTTACTTTATTTTACTGACTTTTTTCAAGTCTTTCTTCTCAAACTGTTCCAGAATCTCCTCAACAATGTCCTCCCGTGCTGCCTCTTGTAGCTTTCCATTGAGGAAGTCCAAATCTTCACCACCTTTGAAGAACGTATCAATGTTAAAGAGATTCTCCTGTAATCTGTGGTCCGTGATGCGGTCTTGGTTGAAGTTATAAGTGCGGATCTTTTCTGACCTATCAGCTGACCCGACCTGTAACTTCCTTTGAGCCTTGTACTCCAGTACCTGGGCCTTCAGATGATGTGCATACACTCTGAAACAAGCAACACAAACGTTACCTACACAGGTTCTCAATCTTAACTGAAATTTAAAGTCAATTTTTACTGATATAACAACTGGTATTTTTTATTCTGATGACTGACTTTTCGTTTTTCTTTCTAGATTGAAACAAAGATGTTTTTCAGTTGACCTAAATGAGTACAATACTGATATTGTACATTTTTTCCACTTTGCTACAAAACGTTTTCGTAGTATTGACCATTATCAACTTGAACAGCAAAAATCAACTTGCTAGAGCTAACAAGAGGCCCGTGGGCCTTAACGGTCACCTGATATATTTATATAGAGAGTTGATTTGGTTTTTAACACGAACAGAAATATTATTCAGTGACAAAAAACAATAAAACCACCTTATTCAATATCTAGCATACAGATTTAAGACTAAAAAGTATTTGAAACTAGCACCTCTGATTCTAAACAAGGAAAATGAAGAAATTTTAGCACACTGACTCCTTTGGGCACCCCCACAGCCCTTGGGGGTAGGGCTGGCTCAAAATTTTCAAAGTATCAAACTGTCAACTCAGGGTTATAATACAATCAAGTTATGAACATGTAATATTTAAAAAATATCATTTGCCATTATAAACTATAATAAATTTTGACCCCCCCCCCTCCTTTCCTAGGGGGTAAACGTGAGACCATAGGGTCATAAACCTTAAGACCCTTCCATCTATGAAGAGTGTTTAATTCTACCATATCTGGGTCTTTGAGAAGATTTTTTTTGAAATTTCAGTCAAAATTCAATCCTTTTGTTTTGGCCCCACCCATCAGCCCCGGGGGATCAGTCAGGGCTCATAATGTGCATACCATCAAACTGCTATCCAATACTGATAATGCTAACCCAAATTGAATTACTTCCAATGAAAATTAAACAAATGTTGGTCCAAAATGTGATTCCCCTCCCCAGGGGTAAACGTGAGACCCCAGGATCATGAAATTCACAATTTTGGTAAAGCACCTTAAGACCCTTCCATCTATGAAGAGTATTTGATTCTACCATACTTGGGTCTCGAGGAGAAGATTTTTGAAATTTCAGTCAATTTGACCCTTTTTTGCCCCTCCCATCAGCCCTGGGGGTCAGTCAGGGCTGATATGTGCATACCACCAAACTGCTATCCAATACTGATAATGTTAACCCAAATTGAATTACTTCCAATGGAAATTAAACAAATATTGGTCCAAAATGTGATTTCCCTATATAAACTATAGTAAAGTTTACTCCCTCCCCAGGGGGAAACGTGATATCCAAAGGTCATGAAATTCACAATTTTGGTAGAGCACCTTAATTGTGACCTTAATAGACCCTTCCATCTATGAAGAGTATTTGATTCTACCATATCTGGGTCTTGAGAAGAAGATTTTTGAAATTTTAGTCAATTTGACCCTTTTTGGCCCCATCCCTCAGGCCCCTGGGGCCGGGGACCAAACCGGCAACTATTTTTGTTGACCTTTGGCCATGGAAGGTTTCTGCAAAATTTCATTGAAATTGGTTCTGGGGTTTTGGAGAAGAAGTCGAAAATGTAAATTGTTTATGGACGCACGACGGACGACCGACGACAGACGGCGGACGACGACGGACAAAAGGCGATCGCAATAGGTCACTTGAGACTTTGTCTCAGGTGACCTTAAAAAGCCAAATTGGCCATTTTCAAAACTTGATGTATGTTTTAATTTTTAATTTTTCATTATTGTGATTTAAAACTCAGATTAGCAGATTCTTAAGACTAACTTGTTGATAATAACATACTTTATTCTGTGTATGTGATGAATTACTTTGCCCTAAGGTGATACTGAATTATTTTGTCTTTAGTAATTTGTAAATGATGATTTCTTCTCTGAAAAGTGAATGACCAACCATGTCCTGAGTTAATGATGAATTATTTTGAGATGATGTTTTTGTAAATTCCTTATTTTTGTATTGACAATGACTCCT